GTCAGATATTTCAATAGAATTCATTTTCGCTTCAAGAAAAAATATTATGTGACAAAGAACGGTTCATTTGCATCTAATATATGTTTATTTTTATCCGCCTTTCGTATCAAATGATATTGTTTCAATGTTAAAAATGCCTAAGGTTGCATCAATTTTGAGAAATAATGTTGATGAGTGGAGACTATAGAATTAGTGCCACCAATTTGGCAAAAGTGATAATCATCGCTTTCTCGACTAGGTATACTCTAAAGAATTATTAAGTATTTTGCTATTAAGGCAAATATGTGACTTCTGAGGATTCACTACAGGTATGGTCCCATGGAATCGCAAAACTTAAGTGTTCATATTGTATACAATAACAAGCAATGCCCTTTTTTTCTTTGTGCAATACCTTTCAGTTCGGGTTTAAAATTTTGCTTTCATGTTTCTCTGTCTTTAGCTAATGGGAACTTATCTGTCACCACCCCCTTGTGGTTAAAAGTCATTGTAGGTCCTAACGTATTATTGAATAGTATGACGAGAAGTAATCCCCTTTAAAGCTATTTCGTAATACCAATCATATATATATTGTTTATAAATAAAAAAAGACTCTTGTAGCTTTAGTAGCATATCCCTTAAAGTGTTCAAAAATAATGAGAATACCCTAAAAGTAGCTTTGATAAATAAAAATACTGCGGTCAAAGGCTAAACTTCATTATTCTTCCGGAGAAAGGTAAAATAATAACCCCCTTGTGTATAACGGCAACCAAAATGTTTAACTCTACGTTCTTATTCACAACGTTAATGGTAGGAAATGCTTTCTCCACGAATTATTTCACAACTCATAAGGAAATCAAATAGTGTGGTAAGTAAAAAGTATTTCTAAAATGTTGTAAACAATAATTGGTATAGAGTTTACTAACTCACGAGATTAGTTCTTATGTTTTTTATCCTTGTGTATCCAATGCACAGTTAAAAACTTTGGTGCGGCAGTGACTATTCACGTGGTAGACTTTATCCTTATTCTCTAGATTTTTTCCCATACTATGACGAAGAAAATAATACATAGAGTATTTCTAATATAAGGATTAGATGTTTATTCGGTGTAAATGCACCTGAGTTTCGTTTGAGGATAATAATTCACACAAATATATACTTATATAGGTATATATATATATACCTTTCAACACTAATATTCCTCTCTATAGAGATACACAAAGAATCGGGCAAGAACGTTTGGAGTGTCACATTCAGATAAAATCTTCAGGAATTGAAATAATTTTAGTGCAAAAAAAATGGACATTATTGCTTTAATAAAAGAAAATTAAAAACTGATGGTTAGGCGTGAAACGAAAAAAAAAAAGAGAAAGGGGAGACGCCTGAAAAAAAAAACGAAACATAGAAGGAATTATCCTCCGCTTCATTTTGGGCTTTATAACTTATCCTACTCCCTCACACACACATATATCTATCATTTTTTTTCATTTTTTGGTGTTGCAAAAATGAAAAAAAAATAGAACTAAGTCGCCATTTTGTCTATTCTGTTTTTTTTAGACCCCTGAGTCCTGTCAAGTTGTCGTCTTATCCCATTCAGACGCGCATCTAGACGCAATACGACAGGGTTCTCTAAATCAATAGCCCCTGCACTACCCTCAAGCAGCGCCGCACGCTCCTCCACTAGTCGCCCCAACTCCCGACGAAGGCCAGCCTCAGACGGGGACGGAGAGGTTTCGTCATCGCCTCGGTTATCCTGCCGCCGCCGCGCGCGGAGCTGCTCACGCCGGCGAGCAAGCGCAGCTGCGAGGTGCTCGTTGTGTGCCTCCAGCTCCCTACAGCGCTGGGTCACCTCAGCCAAGGCCGCGCGATGGCGCTGCTCCATGCGCTCGCGGAGCAGCCGCTGCTCCTCAACGTAGTGCTCCCGCAACGGCCCCACGCGCGCGTCGTCGGGCTCCCCCCCTCCCCCTGCCGGGGCCCCCTCACAGCGCTCCCGACGGAGATCCGCATAGAGGCGGAGGTAGTCCGCGTGGGTCTGGCGCTGGCGCTCCTCGGCGCGCTGGGCCTGGAGCTCGGCGGCCTGGACGCGGGCCTGTAAGAGGCTCGCACGGTGGGTGGCCTCGTGGAGCTGCCGCGCGTGCTCGCTGCTCTCCTCCTCGACCCGACGCTGGGCCTCGAGGAGCTGCTGTCGCACCCGCTGAAGCCCCCGCTCGGACTCCCCCAGCGCACGCTCCCGGCGCTTCAGCGCGGCGGCCTCCTTCTCGAGAGAGGCCTCTCGCGCCTTTAGGCCCTCCCCGCGCCGCGCCATCGCCGTGGTCGTCTCCTCCTCCTTCCGCTTCACGAGCTGGGCGAGGTCCTTCAGGGCGCGGGTGCGATGTTGCTCGAGTTGCCTGCGAAATCGCTCGGCCTGGATGGCCTTCCAAAGCTCCAAATCCCACGCGGCCTGGTACTCCTCCGTCTTGCGGATGTCCCCGAGTCCTGGCCCTTGAGTCTCCTCAACCTTCCCGAGCGCGCCGGGGAGCCTCCCAAACCAGGCCGCTCCGGGGGCGCCGGATTTTTCCGATCCAAGGTTGGGCGAGCGGCCGGCGCCTCCGATTACCTTTTCGCGCTCATCCATGGTCATCCCCACACGTCGTGCACCGTTCTCGGGGGATGGCAGGTCGCGATCCTGATCGCGCGAGCTCTGGGGCTTCACAGGCGTGCTTCGTTCGCCACCCTTGAGGTGGCTGCCGGTAAAGGTCTCCGAAGTCTCCACCACGGATGGTGATGAGGAAGATCTATGGGTGTTCATCGCGTGCTCCGAACTCCTTTCGCCTCGGTATCCTTTTGGATGAAATGGTAATGCCGAGTTCAGGTAGATCCCTCGCGTCTAGAAGGAAATGAACTTATATATGCAACGTTAGGCGAACAAAGCGGTGATGGCAATACCCTTTGCAACTTTTGCTCCCTTCTCTATGTCTGGATCTACTCTAGTACTTTAGCTGATGCCATGTATAGGTAATATAAAAGGAGGTGAAAAAAGTCCAGTGTATATATACATATTATATGTAGATATAATACGTTCTTGTTCACCATTGTTATGAATTTAATACACAAAATGACCTCCGTCAGTCGGATAAAGTTAAATTTTTATACTCAAAAAAAATGTGTAAATAACCACTCCTGTTAAAGTGACATTCTTAGAAACAAATACCACTGTTTACAAAAAACAACAACAATAGCGAACTCAAGATTGATGAATTTCAAACACCTTTTTAGCTGTCAACTTTTCTAATGAAGTCCCCTATACAATAGCTCTCCTCGCAGGGGTGTAAGTGGATCCAACCTGCTGTCACACACACAAAGAAGAAAGAACTGATGGGAATTGATAGTATGTCAGCTTTTTTCACCATTTTAGAAAGTATTCTCTCGTACAAACACGACACCAGTGCCCTCAGCTTATTTTACCATCTCTCCTACTACAGAACCTATTTTCTTGTGTGATTGTGAGTTTTAAAACTCTCGCTGAAAAAATGCCTCGAGATACGATAATGTAGGACTTCCTGCGTACATGCATCGCATGGTGTCCGCCGCCATATCTCGTAGCTCACGCATTTGAGCCTCCTCTTCTCCCTCCAGCCGTTGAACTCCGGATTGATGATTCTTAAGAATTTCATTAACCACTAGATAAAGGCCGTATGCCGATCGGGAGTTGTTGGGCTTCTGATTCAGAATCAGAGATTGTGAGTACTCCACGACAGCGCGCCGAAGATCTTTCTTCATGTAATAGAGCTCCGCCAGGCGTGTGTGGAAGAAATACGAATTAGCCTCAAACAGACTCGCCTCCTCAATGTATTCGATCGCCTTATCCAAGTTGCCTATGAGGTAGTACAAGTTACTCAGCTCCTTGTATACCAAGATGGCGCTTCCACGGTGAACTTCAAGAAAGGTGTAAGTCTTCCCTTCCTCGTCGGTGAATACCTTATCCTTTTCCAGAATGTTGATGGCGGCTTGGTAATCGCCCTGGCCCTTGTAGACTGCACTGAGCCGTTTGATGGCAAAGTCGTTCGTCGGGCTCGCCTTGTGGACGGCCTCGTAAACCGCCTTGGCTTGCTCAATGCTCCCCTCCGCCTCCAAGCACATCCCACGACGCAGCATAACCCGCGTTGATTTGTGGCCGAATCGCTTTTCCAAAAGGTTTAAGTACCGCCGCGCGTGCGCCGCCCTGCCGCACTCCAACAAAGCCACAAGAATCTGATCATATACCTCGTAGAGCTCGAGGGTGCTGAGCCCGGTTGACCCCCCGGCAAGGAGATCGGTTGCTAAAAAAAGAACCGCGTTCGCGTTGTGGTACATTTCGGTACGGTACTGGTGGAGCAGCTCTACCTTCTGCTGCCGGGAGAGCTGTTTGAGGTCGAGCGGTGTGACGGAGTGCAGCAGCGGCATAATATCCTGTGTCATTTTGTGTGTGTGTGCGCGCGGGAAAGAAAAGATGTTTAACTATATTTAATAAGGGTCCACTAGATTCAATGTTTTTTTTGTCTGTTATTTTACTATTATTAAACATCGTTTATAGATTGATAGAGGAGGAGGAAGAGAAATCCACATGAAGGATAGAAGACGAATAGACAGAGGCAGCAATGACATATTCTGGAGAGGGTGTGACCTCCCGAAGAGGGGGGAGTGCGTTTTTCTCGGAAATTGGCATCAATAGTAAACCTCCCTTGAGGTTATACCTCACTTAAGCACACAATTGATTGTCTATTTAACCTTATTGGTGGGGCCTTTTCTTTGAAACACTAAATCAAAGGCAAGGATTAAGTATATGCCCTCTTCCCCCCCCCTGTACAGCAATCTCTTTGCGTTATCCAGACTAAAAAAAAAAGAGATAAAAAAATATTTATGGAGCTATTACTCAGCATCGGCTTCCCTCTCTAGTCCATAATAAGCTTGAGTACCAAGGACTGTTCCGTCCTCCACCACGTCGTAAATCATCTCCGCAGCCATCAGTGGGGCCTCCTTCTCCCACTGACGGAACGCAATGAGAGGATTTCGCGGCGGCAAATCTGTCCGACGCATAGCATGGCGCGTAACAACTAGAGTGTCCTGTCTGAGGCCTTCGCTCACCTCTCGAAGGACATTTGTTTTGAACTCCTTGACTGCCTGTTGGCGCGCATCGGAGGTCCTAGCGGCCTTCTGCCGAACACGCTCCGCCTTAGCCTGTTTACGCTTTTCAAGCTGCTCCTTCCAGAAATCTACATCCTCAGCCTTCTGTTCGGCGACAACTCCGGTATCCCCCTCACTTTGCTCGATCTCATCCGTCTCTACGGAGAGGAAGTCGTTCAGAAGACGAAAGGCCTCCTCCTCTTCCTCCTCATTCTCTTCGCTTGCCGCTTGGTAGCGGTAGTTGAGTCTGAGGTAGCGCTGATTTTGAAGGTCGCCGCCATCACTGCCGCTATTGTCATCCCAGTAGAGTGTTTTCAGTGATATAGGATTTGGCCTGACCTGAAGCAGGTCGTGGAACCTCGGCCCGGCCATAACGCGCAGTAGATCATCCACCGTGGTTGGAAAAGCCGGCGTGAGCTCCCCGCGGTTGTGCAGGACGATGGTATCGTGAAGATTCAGGTCCATTCGGTTTAGGATATGGGCGCCCTGAACGATGTCACCCTCATCCGTGTCGTCCCTTGTCACCCCCATCTCGGCAGTTTTCATCGGTGTGAAGAAAATAACCGACGGCACCATTTTGATCCCGAGCTGAGAAGTCAGCGCGAGCTGCTCACCAGCGTCAACCCAAAATACATCCACACGGAAGGATGGAACCCAACATTTTGAAGAAATTGTATCGTCGTTATGGGTAGCAACGGGATTCACGACGGTGCCGGAAGATCCCCCCCCTCTGCCTTTCACCACAGGAGAGGGGGAATAGCAAACGGGGAACTTGCGAAACCGCTTGGCCAGCTCGACCGCCAGCTGATGATCAGCCGCGAACGACGTGTGATCCGAGGCGCGGAGGAAAAAGACCACCTTAATATCACCTGACGAGAGCTCCCGCACGAGGTGCTCGCGGCGCGTGAATTTTCGCAAGGGAGAGGTAGTCCTGTAGGCCTGGAGATCCGACTGCCAGCGCGCGAGTTGATCCCGCTGCATCAGTGTCCACAGCGCGCTCTCGGTCGGCGAGGGGTAGGCCCCGGCTGCCAAGCAGCCCCACACTGCGTCAGCCGCGTCGGCCGCGCTAGAAAGCGGACGCTCGTTTAGACTTCCCCCGAGTCGGGTCCGATTCCCCGCGGCGATCTCGCGAAACTCCCCCCACGTCCACCACACAGCGGTGTCGACCTCGGTAAGCCCGGCAAGCTGCGGGCTGTCAGTCGCGACGACGCACACCCGCCCGGCGGTCTGCGCGGCCGCGGCGACGAGCCCCGCGCGGACCTCCGCCGTCTCGGCCCGTCCCCGTGGACCCCCCCGCAGGTGGACAAAAAGCACCCCCTCAGACGCCT